GGGGGGGGGGCACGGCCGGAGGAACGAGGGGGGGCGCAGCAAGGCAGCCCGCAGCGCAGCCGGAGGAGCCATGGGTGGGGGCGGCACGGCACAGCCGGAGGAGCCATGGGGGGGGGGGGGCGCGGCGCAACGCGGCCAGAGGAGCCAGCCAAGGGGAGGGGGAGCGCGGAGCGGCCGGAGGAAGAGCCAAGGGGGCGTGGCCAGAGGAGGAGCCAAGGGGGGGGCGCCTTTTTAATGTTTGCTCCCCCTGCTCTTAGAACCTGGCTACGCCACTGGTTGACAGTTACAAGTGTTGGGAGAGGTTTACAAAGGCACACAAATAATAATTAGGTACCCAGCTCCCACTGACATTACATTTGTGCCCTTGAAATTTCCCCCCATTATTAACTATACAATTATCCAAACACAGATACAATGCACATAAAGAAGAGAGGAGATCTGGGGACTGTAGCAGACTCTATTTGTAGAGAATAAAGCACTATCTAATTATACATGGAAAGCCATAAGCATGCACCATATCTTCAAAACATTCAGAACCCATCACCTGAGGTAGGAGTGGAGGGCCTTGCGCACATCACTCTATCTGAATGTATATGTTCAAATGAGCGTGCTGCAAACCTCACATTTAGTCTAGTTCTCTGAAATGAGTTGGGTCTTTGTCCAATTCTAGCAGCAAGGTGTTCAGATCATAAAACAACCCCCATGATTAGCTCCCAAGAGTGTAGTTTCAGTGCAGAGACCAAGGATTTATAAAATTAGAGAGATTAACTTTCCCTTTTACCCCAGGAGATGATCCCTCTAGGTCAGGAATTAGATGAAATGTCACAGCAGTGAGGGAGTAGACTGTATTGCCACTGTTCATGCTGCACCTGTGGATGAACAGAAGACTTCTGTTTCTGAGGATGTCAGTCTGGCACTTTTCACTAACACTAAATTCAGACACACAAACACACACTTTAATAATCAAATATAAATATTTTTAAAATATTATTGTAATGGATAGTTTTTAATTTATATACAATGGTTTGCAGCTCATTAGCACATTTATATAACATATTCATTAGTAAGGCGGGGTAGGGTCCCACTGGCATTTCTGCCAATTGGGCTCAGCCCACTCCTTACTTTTTATGATGTGATTAGAAGCAAAAAAGTAGCTTTGTCAATGTGGCATTGTGGGGTTCCATGTTTGTCTTTCAATTACTCCATATCACACATGCTCAGTTTATGGGTAAAAAGACATCTTTCTAACTGACAGGATCACAAACCCAAACTGTTATCTTAATATCTATCTGTGTCATTTTGTCTCCAACAACAATGGTAATAATTCTTTAAGCAAAGCTAAGCTGATGGCAGGGTTGGTGATGTGCAACAACATGGACCAGGAAAGTAACCACCCTTTCTATACTGCCCCAGCATACCTGCACCTGCAATGTTGCATTCAGGTCTGAGAAGCACTAAAATACATAAAAGGTGCAAATTCCAAAGACCAGATTCTCATTACAGTAACTCCTCACTTAACATTGTAGTTATGTTCCTGAAAAATGTGACTTTAAGCGAAACGATGTTAAGCGAATCCAATTTCCCCATAAGAATTAATGTAAATGAGGGGGTTAGGTTCCAGGGAAATTTTTTTCACCAGACAAAAGACTATATTACACTTTCACACACACACACACACACAGTATAAGTTTTAAACAAACAATTTAATAGTGGTACACAGTGATGATGATTGTGAAGCTTGGTTGAGGTGGAGGAGTCAGAGGGTGGGATATTTCCCTTACTGCTAAATGATGAACTAGCAATTGGCTGAGCCCTCAAGGGTTAACTCTCACACTCTACAAGGCAGCAGAAATGGAGGGAGGTATGCGCATTTCCCCTTTAAGTACACTGCCTTGTTAATCAGATCAACTTGCTGAGACCGCAGCTGCTGCAAGCTCCCTCCGTCCTGAGCCCTGGTGTGTCCCCCTTACTCTATGGAAGATGGAGTAAGCGGGGTGCAGGAGCAGGGGGGAGGGGGACACATGACATTAGCCCCCCTCTTCCTTCCCTCCCCCCTGCACAGCAAGCAGGAGTCTCAGGGAGCAGCTCAAAGGCAGAGGGCAGGAGCAGCACATGGCAGTGGGGGGAGGGACAGCTACAACTGCTAGCCTGCTGGGCAGCTGCTGCACAGGGACCTTAGGGGAGCGGGGAGCTGATACAGGGAGCTGATAGGGGGGCTGCTGGTCCACCCTGGTTCCAAGCCCCCACCAGCTAGCTGCAACGGGCTGCTCTTCCTGCAAGCAGTAGACAAAGCAGGCGGCTGCCAAACGACGTTAGAAGGGAGCATTGCACAACTTTAAACGAGCATGTTCCCTAATTGATCAGCAATGTAACAACGAAACAACGTTAACCGGGATGACTTTAAGTGAGGAGTTACTGTACTTTAATGGGAGTTGCAAGTACTGAACACCTCTTCAGATTTAGGCTATGTCTACACTTTACAAGGGCTACAGCAGCACTGCTGAAGCACTGCAGTTATGCCACTGTAGTGCTTAATGTACACGCTTGCTACAGTGATGGAAGAGGGTTTTCCATTGCTGAAGTACATCCACCCCCTCAAGAGGCAGTAGCTAAGTTGATGGAAGAATTCTTCCATCCACCTAGCAGTGTCTATACCAGGGCTTAGGTCAACTTAACTATAGGAGTGTGAATTTTTCACAACCCTAAGCTACATAGGCAGGTTGACCTAAGTTTTAGGTGTAGACCATAACTAGGGCCCTAACAAATTCACAGCAATGAAAAACGCATCATGGACCGTGAAATCTGGTCTCCCCATCGTGGAATCTGGTTTTTTGTGTGCTTTTACCTTATACTATACAGATTTCACAGGGGAGATCAGCATTTCTAAAATTGGGGGGTCCTGACTCAACAGGGAGGTGCAGGGGGGGAGTTGCAAGGTTATTTTAGGGGCATTGCGGTATTGCCACCCTTACTTCTGTGCTGCCTTCAATGCTGGGTGGTCAGAGAGTGGCAGCTGTTGGCCGGGCATGCAGCTCTGAAAGAAACACCCCAGCACAGGGCCGGCTCCAGGCACCAACTTACCAAGCAGGTGCTTGGGGCGGCCACTCCAAGAGGGGCGGCACGTCCAGCTATTCGGCGGCAATTCGGCGGATGGTCCCTCACTCCGGCTCGGAGCAAAGGACCTCCCGCCAAATTGTCGCCGCAGATCGCGATCGTGGCTTTTTTTGGCTGCTTGGGGCGGCCAAAACCCTGGAACCGGTCCTGCCCCAGCAGTAGCAGTGCAGAAGTAAGGATGGCAATACCATACCATGACACCCTTACTTCTGTGCTGCTACCTTCAGATCTGGGTGGCTGGAAAGTGGCGGCTGCTGACTGAGGGCCCAGCTCTGCAGGAAGCAGTGCAGAAGTAAGGGTGGCAATACCATACCATGTCATCCTTACTTTTGCGCTGCTGCTGATGGCGGCTCTCTCTTCAGAGCTGGGATCCCGGCCATCAGCCGCTACTCTCCAGCTGCCCAGCTCTGAAGGCAGCACAGAAGGGTAGCAGTACCGCAACCCCCCCCCCCCCCCCACACACCATAACCTTGTGACCCCCCTACAAAACTCATTTTTGGGTCAGGACCCCTACATTTACAACACTGTGAAATTTCAGATTTAAATAGCTGAAATCATGAAATTTATGATTTTTAAAATCCTATGACCATTAAATTGACTAAAATGGACCGTGAATTTGGTAGGGTCCTAACCATAAAATCAGGCCTTAGTCCCAAGAACAGAGACTAGTTATTTAGAATGGTATACAGAAATATGAGTAATTGGATGAAATTAAGAAAGGGAATATTTAAGATCTGTAAGATATTCAGTGAGATCTGTTAAGCTCTGGAACAGACTCGGAGGAGAGTTGCACATGCCTCATTATTATTTAAAACAAAACCGGAAAAAACAATAAATAAACGTAATAAAGAGAATAATTTGGCAGTGACAGGAAGATGGACTGGATGACCTAACAGGTGTTTTCTAAATGTATATTCCAGGGATCGGCAACCTTTGGCACGCAGCCCGTCAGGGAAATCCGCTGGCGGGCCAGGACAGTTTGTTTACCTGCAGCGTCCGCAGATTCGACCAATCACAGCTCCCACTGGCCGCGGTTCACCATTCCAGGCCAATGGGGGCTGCGGGAAGTGGCAGCCAGCACATCCCTCGGCCCACACTGCTTCCTGCAGCACCCATTGGCCTGGAACAGTGAACCGCGGCCAGTGGGAGCTGCGATTGGCCGAACCTGCAGACGTTGCAGGTAAACAAACCGTCCCGGCCTGCCAGCAGATTTCCCTGATGGGCCGCGTGCCAAAGGTTTACGATCCCTGGTATAATCTATGAATGTATGATACACAACATAATCAAGTTTAAGCTGCTGTAGCTATATTCATTCTGCAGCACTAACAGAAGTGAAAACTTGTTTGTGTCAGTAAAGCTAGTAGATCTGAGTCAAAGTTACCCAGGGAGCAGATACTATGGGCCAGATTATGCTTTTAAGACTCAAGCTTGTGTTGGGGGCAGGCAGTCTGGTGTCAATACTAAGAGGGATTGTACCTTCCCAGTACACAAGGGAATCATAAAAGATGCACCGTCCTAGGTAGGTGTAGCCGGGTTCCTCTCTCTGCTTGGCCAGCTCTATGATCTGGTGTAGGAGCCCCATCTCCTCCATACCCTCTTTGGGGCTATTGCACCCATGGGGATATAGGAAAGGAGCAGATTCTTTGCACTCCTGAATGCATGGAGGCAAGTGGAAGAGAAGTGAAAACTTACTGTGACATTCACGTAGGCACCCATGCAAGGGCCAAGGACAATCTGGTCCTATATATGGAGCGAGAAGGAGATTTTGATGTAGTCGCTTTTCAGGCCATAACCACACATTAACAGCATTAAATAGTTCAGTTGCATGTTACATAAGTGCAGTCCATAGCATCTAAATTTCCTGTATATTCTATCACACCTACATTTCAAGGGCAGCACAGTTACACAGAGTTAGCAGGGCATGTTCCAACTGCTGACAGAGAGAGTTTAAAATAACAGAACGTATTATGTAATCCTCTTGTGACTATTTGTGACAGAAGTGAGCATCTTAACTTTCTGTTTCCAGGGAAAATGTAGCAGAGTATAAAACAGAAAACAATTTGCAGGCTTCAGGTATGAATTAAATGTTTTAATATTTATTCCCCTCTCCATCCCCACCAACTGTGTTCTTACACTATTTCCTACAATGAGTGTGCACAGGAGAGGCTGAAACTTGAGTAGCTGGGAGTCCCTACAGCCAGGATTTCTATACCATGGCCTATGGTGATTTCTGCTGGGAGAAGCTAGGACTGGAGCACCTAAGGGTTCCCCATAGTCAGGATACTTAGACCATGCCATATACAGTGTCTCGTGCAGAGTGAAGTTGGGTATCTAGTCACTGGGAACTTCCTGACACCCTGGACTTCTACATCCTTCCCAATAATGCCTCCTTCTGGAAGAATCTGGCACCTGGACAATAAGTCTTTACTCCTGTAAAACTCCCTGCGTTAATATTTTCTCCTATATTTTCAGTGGATAAGTGGTGCTGTCTTTGCCTGCCAAATGGTAACAAGACACTAAGAGCAGATTTAATACATTCTTGAACTCCACCACCCCATGGCTGAATTTGCGGTGTGCGCATCCTGCATACTAGTAAAGCAGAGATCTGAACCAGAGTTTTTGTGACCCTCCCCATGAACTTCCTCCTCCAGCCAAGCCACAGAAATTGGAATGAGTGGAAGTCACTCTTGGAATATTTTATGCTGTTACTCTGTCCACCTCTTTCTACTTGGCTTATTGGTTATGGGCCACTCCTTTTCCTACCTGCTATGTGGTGATCTTGCAATGGCTCACCTGGCATGGATGGCTCTCGGGATCCTATTGTGTTTCATTATGCACCCACATTTAATTTTTTTTAATTATAATAATCTCAAAACATTGTCTGCCTGCACAAATCTGTTTTTCCTTCACCCACTTAATGTGTTAGTTCCTGTCCATTCATCTGGCTGGCTAAGAGTCTTGCTGCATGTGTCTGTTTGCCCGTGGTTATGTACAGTATGTGAATCTTTGTGACTGTCTCATCTATGATTCTCTTTCCTCCATCTCCCACAATAGCCATTCAAGCCCACTTGGGGCAAGGACTATGGGCAGATGTGAATCAGCACATATTCAGCACACTATCTCAATCCTTCCACCATATATACATATACAATATTTACATTTCTCCAGCATTAACATTTATGTGAAAAGTATTAAATTAAAAGGGGTCTGGGATTACCCTTTCTTAGAAATTGTTTAATTTCAGTGCAATTTCCCACATTTTAGAAGATTTTAAGACAATCACACATAAATTGTGCAGAAAATGTTAACTTTGACATAAATTGTGCAGCAAATAGAATTCAGTCCTTGAATATTGGGTCTATAGTAAACTATATTCTGATAAGATACCATATCTAAGGCTAAGATTTTGTCATGGATATATTTAGTAAAAGTTACAGACAGGTCATGGGCAATAAAGAAAAATTTCATGGAAGCCCGTGACCTGTCTGTGACTTTTACTAAAAATATCCATGATAAAATGGGAAGGGACTGGGCAGCTGAACCCATGGAGCCTCAGAGCTCCAGGGTCCCTCTTCCCTTCCCAGCAGAGGGGAGCTTCAGGGTCCCCCTCCACCCTCCCCAGCAGCAGGGAGCTGCAGGAATCCCCCTACCCTCCGTGGTGGCCGGGGGCTGCAGGGGTCCGCCTGCCCCCTGCAGTGGAGAGGAGCTGTGGGGTTCCCCCTGCCCCACCATGGTGGTGGGGACCTGCGGGGATCCCCCTGCCACCACCGCGGTGGGGAGCTGCAGGGGTCCCCCTGCCTCACCATGGTGGCGGGGAGCTGCGGGGTCCCCCTGCCCTGTGGCAGTGGCCGGGGAGCTGTGGTGGTCCCTCTGCCCCATGGCGATGGTGGGGAGCTGCCAGGGTCCCCCTGCCCCATAGCGGTGGCAGGGTAACTGCGGGGGTCTTCCCTGCCGACACAGCTGACGGGGAGCTGCGGGGATCCCTCTGTCCCCGGAAGCATCGGGGAGCTGCGGGGTACCTACTCTGCCCAGGGCAGCTGGGAGCTTGGGGGCCCACTGCCTCAAGCAGCGGGGGTACCTCACAGCTCCCTGCCGCTATGGGAAGCAGCGGGACTCTGCAGGTCCCAGCCACCAGGGCAGAAGTCACGGATTATGTGACCTCCAGGACAAAATTGTAGCCTTAACCATACCTAACAAACATGTACCAAAGCCACCAGAACCAAAATACCTTTGCATATCTCCCCATCTCACACACACGCAACCATTAAAGCCTTCAGAAAAACAGTACCGATGTTAAGTATCAGAGGGGTAGCCGTGTTAGTCTGAATCTGTAAAAAGCAACAGAGGGTCCTGTGGCACCTTTGAGACTAACAGAAGTATTGGGAGCATAAGCTTTCGAAGTGAGGTTCTTACCCACGAAAGCTTATGATCCCAATACTTCTGTTAGTCTTAAAGGTGCCCTAGTACCAATGTTGCACACACAAAAGCATCAATGTTGCAAAAAGCCATGAAAAACCAAAGCAGATTTTATTTTGAAACAACGGGTTCCCAGGTCCACCTGCCTCTTCACTACCAGATTTTCTGAGCATCCCTCCTCGACAGTCATGTCTCCATTTCCTGATATATAAACCCAATCATTTATATGTATTTTGTGGTAGTGTTTTTTGCATAAACTTTTTATAAACTATAAAGAATGACTGACTTTATCTCCCCTGGTTCTTCCCTTTCTCTTCTTTCACATCATTGTTTTTCCTCCTGTGTCTAATTGCTTCTTTTCCTCAGTAATTTACAGTTTTTCAGCTTTCTCTCTAATTAACATTTCCTTTCCCCCTTTCCCTCTCTAAATCTTTTATCCTTTCATATTCTTTCTCTTCCCTTCTATATTCTTTCAATCCCCCATCATGTTTCCTCCTCCAAACGTGTTTTTCCTTCTGTGTTGCCCTTGCCCTCTCTTCCATTTTCCCTTCTTCTTTTCTTCCTTCCTTGCTTCTCTCTCATTTCATTTGTTCTGTGATTCTTCCATCTCTCCTTCCGAAGGCCACTCTCAGGCAGAGGAAGTGTCTCCTCATCCCGAGCCAGCTGTGGCCTGCAAACTGTGCACATTTCTCAATTACTGGTCAGTTTTTAGCAGGAACAGAAATCATCTTCAAACCCTGCCTAACAACTGAAAAATGTGACAGCACCCTGCAGGTGGTGTCAACTGGTGTCAGGTATGCACAGACTTTTTACATCTCTCAGCTGTTCCACAGAGAATGAACCTCACTTACTTCTGGTGTGAGGTTAACAGCTGAGAAGTGGCTTGTGGGAATGAGTGAGGGGTAATAGGTGTAGGGACACCCTACTATGGAACACAAAGCACTGATTCTGGTAAACTCAATGCTGTGACCTCTTAAGAGGTGGTGACGAAAAGAGAAATGTCATAGCCCTGAATTGTGTGTGTGCATATCTTTATGTGTGATCTCTCTCTCTTTCTCTCTCTCTTTTGATTCCCTGCTTTCCTGGGCTTTATTTTCCTCGTGCTCATGCTGTTTCTTTACAGGAAATCAAAAGAGTGGCAGTAAATCCGGAGTAATCTGTTGCAAGTAGTCAAAGGGGCTTATCAACAAGAAAGAATTGAAAAAAACAAAGCAAAGCAGTCTGAAGATGCGATACAACTGGAGCAGGAAAGAGAGAGAAGAAAAATTACCCTAGATACATCAAAACTGTCTCCTACTTTTTAATATTATGAAATTAAACATTGTTGAAACACTAACACTATCTCTTTATTTTTCTAATCCAATATGAACAACCAAAGAGATATTAGTTTTGGTCCCTGGCAGTGGGCTCTAGATTCCCAGTGAAATATATGAGACCATTTTTCTCATAATATATGAAATGGCCATTTTAATTTTAAATACTTATGCCAAAATATAGGTCACATTTTTATGTGATGAAATGTGCTTCTTGTCAGAGCAACTTTCAGAGGGTTGTAGTGAGACAAATGATGGCAGAATATAGAATACTCCTTTAATCAGTAGAAACATTGCATTCCTATTGGATTTTGCACAGGACATGCCTGCTGTGCTACTGAACATATCAGGCAAGTTGAGGTAGAACTCATCTGCTTTATGTACTGTTGTCCCTTTTGATCTGAGTAGCTAAGTCCGATTTCGGGGCCCTGAGGATGTTCCAGTTGGAAGTAGAAATTGATGGAGTTTGGTATTTTCTTTTATTCAGTTTTGTTTATTTACAAAGAATGTACAAAGTCCTGTGTCTCTGAACACAGAAAGAATCAAGAACAGAAGGAGCAGTTTCTTGGATTACACCCCAAGTGTCTTTAGCCAACAGACCCAAAATGCTCTCTCTCGCTTTTTCCAGGGTCATACTGTGCTCCGTGGCTACTCTTAGGCTTTCTTGTTTTTTTCCTTTGCCTCTCTCTGTTCTCGTCTGTGTCCTCAGTTTCTGCGTGTTCTCTCTCTCTCATACACACACACACCTACCCAAAACACTATTTAGCCCAAAAGCGCCAGGACTCTCTCACACACACTTTTTGTGTTAGGTAAGGCTTATGTTTACAGCTGTGTTATTTGAAGGGTGAGTTCACACCTACCAACCTCAAAGGGATTTTAACCCAGCCTATAACAAGTTTTCATCCAGCTCATACCAGTACCAATATTCCATTGTTAGCAGGATGGCAGAGAGCTGTAATAGTGAAGGGATCCCTCCAGCAACACGGTGCTCATTCTCTCTAGGTCAAGCCTTTAATTCAATATTGACTCAAGGAGAAGAGTGCCATTGACTGAATCATAAACACCATTTCTTACAGCACCTAATGGTTACCAGGATATGTCCCATTAATGTAATAAACAGGCCGGCACCACTAAGTATGTGCTATCTAACAGACTTATACTTCAAGATATGAGTGGATGTTCATGCTACAATCTCTCCACTCATTTGAAAATCTAATGGATATTGCCCTGTTTTAAAACCCACAATGGACCTGCTCCAGCTTACCTCATGGCCCTTCATTCTCTACTTCCCATCCTCCTTCCTATGCTTGTCTATCAGCCACCAGCTCTCTCCCACATCCTACAATCTCACTGGGTTCAAGAGCCTTCACTGCAGCACCTGCCATTTGAAACAGCCTTCTTGTATATCTCCAGCTCAACAATTCTCCATCTCTTTAAATCTCATCTGAAAGCTATAATGGGCTGTTGTCAGCATAAAACTCATAAAATAATACCTCTGTTCTTTAAAATTGGAAGATTTTTAAACTCAAATTTACTTTATACCTTTGGCACTGCTTGTTTCATGTTTGCATTTCACTCAACTTAGAAAGTAAAATTAGACTGGATAGTAAAACTTCCTGGTACTCATGCATCAGCACAATTCACAACTCTGCAGGCAAGTGTTTAATTGCAACAACTTTCAACTTAACAAAAATATATATATATTCTCATTAAGTGTTGTAAAATCATTATTTCTTTACAAATGGATTAAAGGGCTCCATGTAGTACTTGAAGATGTGCTCACTGGATGGAGCATCACTTTGGGGTCTACCACAACTACAGCTCTGACCGATGGGGTTAAAGCAGAAACTTTTCCTATGATCAGGCTATTCCTTAATCTTGTTTCTTCAATAATAGGATTGCCTGAACCTTTCTCTGAAACATCTGCTGCTGGCCTGTGACAAGTTGGCTGGCCCCTTTAAGGGGAAATGGAGCCTCAGGCCCATCTGTGACAAGATCAGCTCACCTCCTCAAGTGGGTAATAATAAATGAGGTAGTGAAGTCATGTGATTAATTGAGGCTAGGCCTGGAGAGGTAAAGGCGGATGGGACAGGCACCTGGAGTAGTCCCTGGGACTGGAGAAGCTTGAATGGGGGGCTAATATTCCAATTAGGAGGCTTGAGAGTTCTAGGAATGCCAGAAGATTAGGAAACTGCAGGCAGCTATGGGGACCAAGATTGGATTGTGAGGTAAGTAGAAGGGTCATTTTCATTATAATCCAGCTCTGGGAAGGAAAACTAGGAGCTTCTGATTTCATGGGAGAGACTGGACTGACCCAAGCTCTGAAAAAGGAGGGCTGGGGACCCTGGCTCAAGGAGAGTGAGGCACGTGAATGGGAGCCAGGGGCTGAAGCAAAGAGAAGCGAGACAGCAAAGAAGGCATGGTAGGCCCTGCATCTCCTCCAACTGCTCAGTGAGCAGGAAGAGAGAGGCCCCCCAGGGAGAAGAGGATGAGTCCAGCTGGAGTCTGAGCAGACGAGACTTTATTTTTTTAGTTCATTTGGACTTTCCAGGCATTCAAGAAGGGATAGGTGCCCTGAGGAGCTCACAGTCTAGCCAGTGTGGTGTTAGCAAGTCAACTGTTGGTGCTGTGGTGACAAGGATTTGCAAGGCAGTTATAGATGTGGTTTGCCCATGGGTGTTGAAATTTGTTAATGTTCCTGAAATAGTAGCTGGTTTTGAGAGAAAAGGGTTCCTGAACAGTGCTGGGGCTATCAATGATTAATACGTGCCTGTTGTTTGCTCCTTTCAAGATGCATATGAATATGACAACCAGAAAAATGCTACTAGCTCATTATACAAGCCTGGGCTAATCATTGCAGGAAGTTCATAAACATCAATGTGGCCTGTGTTGACAGGGTGCATGATGTCAGGGTACTCCAGAAATCTGGTGTTTACCTATTTCGAGGAGGAGGGATTCTCTCCCAATAATATGGATATCAAAGGGGTGTTTGTGCCCACTTGTTGTTATAGGGGACTTAAGTTGATTCTCAATGACCCTGTCTCATGAAGCCATAACCTGATTTCAGAGCACCTGAAAAAAGGAGGACAGTGGTGGTATGTGCATTTGGCCAACTGAAAGCAAGACGATGCTGCCACAAATCTCTTAGGATGCCAGTATGCCCAATGCCATTCATGTTAGAGGGGTGTGCTGTGCACTGCACAACATATCCAAGGATAATGGGAAGAACTTTTCACCATGAGTGGTTCAAAGAGAGTGTTTGTTTACAGGCCTGGTATGGGCAACCAGAAAGTGTGCCTCTGAGAACTGTGGCTGGGTCCAGGAGAGCAAGGGAAGTCAGAGATGCCCCTTAATTTAGGAGTTATTTTGGACTCCTTTCTCTCCTTTGGCCCACACATCTCCAAACCATACTCCAATCCTATCATTTGCTGTTGAGTAAGAAAAAAATTACAGAATTTGAACATGGCTTTGAGATGTGGGGGGCAAAGGAAAAGCAGGAGTAAAAAAAATAGCTGAGGCTCTTAATCTGAGAGTTAAGGGGATGATGCTGGTGTTGTCACCAGTGACAGAGAAGGGAGGATGTAGAGAAAAGTCAGATGGAAGATCAGAAGTTCACTTTTGTTCATACTTAGTTTAAGATAACAATTAGGTGAGATTGCCCAAAGATGGGGTGCAAATGGCCAATATCAAAGGGCCAAGAACAGAGCCCCAGGGAAGCCCCAAGGATAGTGGGAGAAGGACCCACCTACAAAGATCCTAACTGAGTGGTCAGAGATAAAAGAAAGACAAGGAGAGAACAATCTCAAAAACCCAGTGAAAATGAGAAAAAGAAGAAGATGATGATGATGGACATTGTCAGAAGCAGCAGAAAGGTTGAGGGGGGGGCAGGTGAAATAGAGACCTTGTGATATGGTGAGAAGGAAGTAATTAGAAACCTTAGTGAAAGCAATGCCAGCAGATGAGAGGGCTGAAGCCAGATTGGAAAGGATCGAAGATGAAGTTGGAGGAGAAAGTGCATCTGTTGCAGATTGCATGATTCAGTGAGTTTAGAGATAAAGAGTTTAGAGATAAAGGTGAAGAGGCTAATGGGGCAGACAGATGGGAATTAATCCTGCACCAAACAATATTGACATTGCCAGCATCTCCATTGTGATTCTGGGTGTCCCAGTATACCCATTCTGCCATGTGTCATGAGCCCATTCCCAAATTCCACAAGTCTAGAAAATGACAATTCTGTTACACTCTCAACACATGTAGGAGGATAGTACTGTTTAGAGGACTTGGGTCCTGTTTCTCCTCCATCATGAGGGCCTCTACAGATTAAACTGTGTCCTGGGATTAACCCTCGCTATAATCATTTTAAAGGAATCATACATTCTACAGACCTTTACCCTCTGATCCCACTGAGGGTTACCAAAAGAAACTACATCATCTGCTCAAGAAACTCCCTGAAAAAGCACAAGAACAAATCTGCACAGACACACCCCTAGAATCCCGACCAGGGGTATTCTATCTGCTACCCAAGATCCATAAACCTGGAAATCCTGGACTTCCCATCATCTCAGGCATTGGCACCCTGACAGCAGGATTGTCTGGCTATGTAGACTCTCTCCTCAGGCCCTATGCTACCAGCACTCCTAGCTATCTTCGAGACACTACTGACTTCCTGAGGAAACTACAATCCATTGGTGATCTTCCAGAAAACACCATCCTGGCCACTATGGATGTAGAAGCCCTCTACACCAACATTCCACACAAAGATGGACTACAAGTCGTCCGCAACAGTATCCCCAATAATGTCACAGCAAACCTGGTGACTGAACTTTGTGACTTTGTCCTCACCCACAACTATTTCACATTTGGGGACAATGTATACCTTCAAGTCAGCGGAACTGCTATGGGTACCCGCATGGCCCCACAGTATGCCAACATTTTTATGGCTGACTTACAACAATGCTTCCTC